ATCGAAATATATTCTAAAAAGCGTCAAAAATTTCAGACTTTTTAGGTTTGTATTTCCTCAAGTCAGTTTCTTCCAACTTCGCGCGTGCAGACCAAATATCAGAAAGTTTTCTTTGGGTTACTGCTGATTACCATGAGAGTATATACAAGTTTTAAGTCACTATAATTTTTCAAAAAACCAATGAACTGATTTAAAATTTTGCAGGTAGCTTTATAATCGAATAACGGTTGACAAAAGTGAGGTAATTGTTGTTTCTTATCAGCGATGTATGATATAAATTTATTTGTGATAGCAATATTTTATTATAATTTATTCATTAAAATGCAGATTTTATATTTATAGGGAATCACGTATCTCTAAGAATATGTTTCTGCCAAAATTGTTGAACCGACAAAAAGGGATAGCTTGATAACTAGTAGACCAGTTGCATCATCCTATGCACGCGTTATCAGTGTGGCCAAACGATTCCAGATAACGGGTGATAACGCAATTATAAAAATCTGTGCCCGGTTTATCGAGGGATGGAGTCGTTTGGAACAGGAATCACAGCGATCCGAGCCTATTGTCGTGCTCGATAATGAAGCAGCGATGAGTATTCGGTTATCAACCAAAGAGCGGTTATCTGGTCACTGCAACCGGCTCGAAGCCTTCGACCTGGTCGCGATCGCGATTTCCACGGCCGTGGCAGCGGAGCCAGTCCTCGGACCGAAGCTAATTTGTTACACGACAGCTCGACTCCACCCAGCCGCCACTTAATCGGTCCCCGACGACCGAGACAGCTGTCGCGAATTAATTTGCCTTGCAAGTGTCAGGCGCAGTATCCGTCGTGTTATCGCGTAAATATGAGCGCGACTCGATTCCGTCTTCCGGGACGGATCGCCTGAACACGTGAGCGAAACTTCTCCTTGATTACATGTGTTCAAAACAAGTTCTTGATTACGTTTTTCTTAAGATTATTTGAGTAAACGCTTTCAACGTTTTTTTTTTCTTAAAAAAGAACGTGTTTGAATACTAGGAATTCTTTCTCGAACATGGTACGCGACACATTGTTAGAGTACTTTCATAGCTCTGAAGGAAACGGAGCTAAATCGAGGTTGAAAGAATGATCGATTCCAATTCGCGGTTGAAGGTCTTACTTTGAATTCGGCTCGGGGCGGGTAACACAAGAACTCGGAGAATTCAAGGGGCCGGGAGAAGAGAGAGAGAGACAGAGAGGAAGTCTCGAGGAGCAGTCTCGATGCTCGCGCGCACCGCTAAACGTTTCACGAACAATACCACGGATTGTTAATAATTGAACAATGAGCTGCAGGAGCTATAGGCAATCAGAGACGGTCGTTAATTTCAAACGTCGCGGCGCGCCGCGACGCGACGCGACGACGTCGGCGATGCTTTAACGAGCTCGTCAAGATCGCTTTGTTAAACCGTAACTTATATTCGTTAGTTAGTAGTTACGTAATTAATTTCATATAGCGTGCGCTTCATCGAACAATAGCCTCGACGGAACTTCGAAATTCCAGTTGCTTCGATATTGTTTGCTCGACGACCGCGGATGTTAACACTCGAAACTGTGTCAGTCGTGTCTCGGTGTCACCATCGCCTTTCCCTCCTCCAATAGACAATAATTACCAGAATTGATTTTGTCACGCGTTTCTTACCCCTCAACCATTTTGTTCAATAATGAGCTTGATCATCCACTGCGACAATTCACAAAGCAAGAATTACAACGAAGCTCTGTTACCCAATATAATTTACGCCTGTCACAACATAACATAATTCATAGCAGACGGTATAAGGCGGACGGTTAATAAATCATTTGGACAGATAACCATCTCGTAATCTAGATAATTAACGTGTTCCTCCCAGCCGGAGAAGGTTAAGGCAATGTATTTACGTTGAAAATTGGCGAACAGAACGAGCGCATGTATGGATGATACGCGTGAAAATTTCACGGAACCATCCCTTGCGAGGGCTCAGATTCCGTTGGTAACGCTTGTGGTCGCGAGGAATGCACGAAGGAACCCTTGCAGTACCGTTTACGATCTCTCGCAATTACCATCGCGTTCACCGCAGTTCCCTCGACTGGATCAGTCTGACAGGCGTTTCGCTTCGGTAATTCCCCTACCGAACCATTTCGAATGCCGAAGAATGTCATTAAAGATTCCGGAGTCTTAGGAATTTTTCCTGACCTGACCTCGCTGGCTATAAACGTTCGGTTAAAACGAGAAAAATAATTAGGCGGTCTCTTCGTTAAGACCGGATCCCTTTGACCTTTTTTTTTCCCTTTTTTCCCGTTGTGCACGAAACACGGATATCGTCGGCATTAATTCCGGAACGGTTCGTTGCACTCTCAACGAAACAACTCGGCGCGCACAATATTTCGTAATGCATCGCGCATAAATCTTCGAACGCTGCGAGGATAAATTATGCGGTAATGCATCGGGCAACGTCTTCCGTGCGTGGCGACGCTTCTTTGGCCGCGTACCAAAAGTGTGCTGCACTTTTGAGTGGCCAGCAAATACGATGCGTTGCGAGCCGCGACACAAACGTCATTGTTGAACTATCCTTTAACTTACCGACCCAGCAATTACTCTAATTGAATTTTTACGACAATAGTAAACAGTACGATGTAATTAATTTTCCAAATCTTCGCCATTGCTTTATTCTGCGTAAGATTTGATCTGCGCTTTCCCTATTCTTAACGAATTTATCGCTGGAGAGGCCGACCGTCAAGATAAAACGCGTTTCATTGTAGCCACCCTTCGAGTAAAGCCCAACGCGTCGCCATTCAGTTCCGACTTAAAACAATTGCCGCGAAGTCGGGACGAAATAAATGCGAGCGGCGCGTACAAATATTGACAGAAGCCGATTATTTATTCAAGCGGAGGGAGCTGCTTTCCATAACTTGTTCGCACCCGGCGTCTATTTGTTCAATTAGTAGAAGGAGTGTTTGGCGCGAGATTCGTAGGGGGCTCGAACGGTCCGGTAATTTCCTAATTGTTTCCCCAAAGCGTATTCGCACCGGCAAACTGCGCTCTCACTCCCGTCCCTAGTTCCCAGATTTAACGACAAAACTCCGTTGGCTATTTATGAATCATTCGCCGGGCGCACGTTGAACTTCGACTTCGTAAACAGGAAAAATGTTAAACAGCCACTTTGCTTCTACCTCGACTGTGTAACGCAAGATATTAACGCGAGCCCTATCGACGCTCTCTATTTTTCTGTCTGCTTTCTGTATTATTCTAAATTCGAATCTCAGTTGGCAATGGATGTTTGAAAATTTAATCAAATCTTGTCGAGGAGCGGTTCGTGCAAGAAAGATAAGCAGCAGCCTCATCTTCTTTCTTTTACGAATGGATAAGTGATTGAAAACCGTGAAGTTTTTTGTAATCCACCTGTATTTTCCTAGGCTCGACTTGACTCGGCGAAGTTCGACAAACGATAGCGGAAGAGGAACACGGTAAGAAGTTCGAGGGCATTTTTGTGCGGGTGGTGTGAGAAAAGTTCCGAGACCAATAGCGTTTGTCACGGGTTGCGAAGTGTGATTACGTGCTCACAACCGACTGAACGGCTTTCCGCGCGATCCGCGAACGAGCAAAATGTAAAACAATTCCCGAGACTTTGATGCATGCGAGCACTTCCCGGGTGAATATCGACGACGGATGTTCTCGCAGTCTTTCTTTGAAATCGGCCCGATTACCGTTCTCGTTACTTTCCTCCGCTGCTTTACGTAGCTCAATTTTCAAATGGTTTCAGCACCTAATTCCGAAGTAGTTGTATTTCATTCGGTATTTCCACCGGGGTGGAAGTAAATCAAATTCCGGTTCGATTAAAAGCGAGCGGTTCGCGCGGTGGATATTTCTGATGCCGCCGTCGTGGCATGCCGGCCGCGACAAACGCATTTAATTGCAACGGAATGGTAAAGCGGACAAACGCAGAGAGATTTCAGCCTTATTCCGTTTGACGTGAGAGCGCCAAGGGGTCGGGGATGGGCTGGATTGCGGACATCGAATCCGAAAACAAAGGAAAAACAACTTATCCGGCAAATGGACGGGCGAATCGCTGATTGAAAATTTTCCAGCCGTCCGGCAGCCGGTCGGGCTTCGATCTCGCGGATATAAGCGGATTAAAAGCTGCGTCAAAGCAAAATATGGCGAAACAGAGAGGAGTCGCTCTACCGTAGGCGCACACGGTAAACGTGAACGCGTCGCGTGATGCTTCGAACGTGTCCGGGGCTTATGATCTCTCGATATCTGACGCGGCATGTACTCGCACTCTTTTCGAATCGACTCGGTGCGACGGATCGCCTCGCGTTTCTGCGACATTTATCGTTCTAAGGTTCTTATCGCTACATGCGTTCTACGGAACTAATACACTGCACTGGGATCGTTTAAAACTGATCGTTTCTTATCGCGATGATTCAATTTATGTACGACTGTGCTCGTTCAACGGAGTCGCACTTGTCTATAATACTCGACGAATTGACATAACAAAAAAATCTGAAATTGGAGAGACTTACCCTTAAGCGCAGGTAGGAAAGAGGCAGGACGACGACTCGGAGACATGATCGCCATCGTAATTCCACTCAAACACTGGCAAGTCACTAGCACGCGCGAGCACTGAGATCAATCCTCCCCGGGATGGCAGCCGGATGAGCCATCGCCGGCTTTAATAACGATCGGCCGTTTCGATCGACGTCATTTCAGTGTGAAAAATCGATATACGAGCGATAACCCGTTCCGATACGAGTCGAACGTGATTTACTCACGGAGCCGTTCCGAGCTGACCGACGCGAGAGCATCGTCTACTCTCGCCTAATCGCGATTTCGCGCGGATCAAACGTTCGCGAGACTTGAACCATGGTTCTCATCGCGTTTCGCTTTCCCAAATCACCAATTGTCAACCGAAGGCCGTCTGTGCTTCGAAATGGCCAAGTATCTTCTGATTCGCAAACTCTTTCCAGCCTGAAGATTTGCCGATTGCCTCGGATGATCGTTTACTCTTGGATCCTGCATGAGAAAGAAGTCAGTGATTCGTAAGAGTCAATCGAACGATGATGAGAAGCTGTCAGTAAATCAGTGTAAATAAATGAACAAGATAATGAGCATCGATACTTTCTAAGATTGCGGACGTTTGCCAATGAACATCTAATTTCGGAAATATAATAGTCCTAATATTGTACACATCGAGCAGCAAGAAATAAAGTACAAAATTTATTTGCCGACCAACATAATAATAATAGGATGCAGAATCTGCATCAATGAAAAATAGATCGGGGGACCTCGCTGCTCTCTCTGCAGCGAGAAATCGTTCCGCGGTGGAAAAAATACAGAGGAAGATGAATCGGTGACATGAACACGGTGCAACCAGAATCAGGGAAAAATAGCCGAAACAGGGCGGAGTCAGTGGAGGGGGTAGTTCGATCGGTTTAATCGTTAATTCACGGCGTATCTGCCGTTCCTCGGAATTTTCAGCCACGGCGAAAACGAGTATCTGTGTATGTACATTGTTAATTGCCAGCGACCGCAAATTGAAACTAGCGCGCGCGCGCTTCCTGAGTCCTTCGGCATCGTAATTTACACGATCGCAGGAATCCTAAAACTTATACCAATACCTAAATTACGAAAGAGAAGTAGATGAACGAATATCAGAAGATGTAATTAACATTCTCAATGTCTATTTCAACCAACAATTGATAGCTCAACGTTACTAAATATTCCAGCTACTAACAATAAAGATGCACTCCTTGGGAAAACTCGAAACTTAAACTTCCTATCAAGCATTCCTAATCTCTCTCGAAAACCAATTGTTTCGAGGCACAGTATTAAAACTAGGCTAATGCACTTTTAAAGCAACGAGGTCTATCTTATTCATGTGTTTCAAACGCGATGCATCGTTACGACTAAATCGCAGAAAATACGAAGATTTCGTACAGATAATTTCACCGCGTTAGAATTGCAGGACTTTATCCCTCAATTTTCGAAATTCATTCGGTAATGTTTGTAAGATATCAGAGAGTTCGGCACCATCTTAGGTATAAATGATTAACAATGGTCGTTAAAGCACTCCCGGTATTCATAAATCGGGCGGACGGTTTATCGTGGCGCGGCGCGTCGTTCAAGCTCACTTTGTACAGCTTCCGGTAACCCGTAACGGCGGCTTAATGAAGTCGTAAAACGATCGATAAAGCACGCGAATCGCGCGTCCCCGTCCACGTCGCGTTTTGATCGTTCATCGCGATTCATCCGGCAGATTATCGTCCGAAAAAAGAATCTGGCAACTTTTGAAAAGCCTATACACGCAGTCAATAGCCAGCTACATCAATACCAGCTAGAAATTCAATATTATCAATTCTCTCATCGATATCTGGTTGGTCATAATAAGCGTAAGTTGATAATTCTGAAGATTTTTATGAAAGGCTTGGAAATTCATAGTTTGAAGGAGTTATAGATTGTTCTCAAAAGACGTTCCGTAGCGAATGGAAACTCCGCAGCGGCTCAATATTGTTAATATCTCATTATTGACTGACTTATCGAGTTTAAGAAGTTTAGTAGACTTCAATGGATTCAGCTATTTTATTATTGCACATATTTATCTGAATGAATGATCATTTTACTCGTCTCACGACCACGGACGAGATATCCCGCGACATTATTCGTCGTACGATGCCATGGACGAGTTATCCGGCGATCGATTAATCGGGAATAGCATTGTTCGACCCCTTGTACTCACGTACAGGATATACGGAAATAAAATTAGAATGAATTGGATCGCGCTAAGTTGTATCACTACGCGATAATGGGAACTCTTAATGGAACGAGCGTCTGAACACGTACTGGTTACCCAGAGGACTGTGAAAATGGGAAACAAAAACTATCGAGTCACGGTTACTGCGCAAAACAATGTTTACAGTTTCGAGGGTGGAGGATTGTTGTCGAACGTTTCGTGTCTGCTGACTCGTTGTAATCGGTGTACGTGAGAATGCAGTTGGTATAAGTCACGTGTTCGAAAAATTGAGACAACATTTTGGGGTACGTCACACGAAGAACTGTTATGTCACTTTATTTAGTATTAAAAAAGATGTTACCGGAAATAAATAACATCAATAATTCTAATTAGCAAACATCTTTTTTTATTTTTATAGAATTATTTTGAATTCGGATATTTCTTCTTCTATTTGTATGCTTAAGTCAAGTATGTAACGCGTTATTTCGAGTACCAGACCCTGACAGACGTAGATTAGACAGGAAAGAAAAGGTAATTGGCACTGTCTATCTTACGATCGAGCAGCGGGAAGCGTACGTTCCCAGAGGGTCGGTATAGCACTCGAAGAAAGCACAACAGGAAGAGTTCAGCTGTCGGAGGAATGCACCGGTCGATGTCCGGCGAGTGCATGACCGTGCATACGTTATCAAAAAACACAACGGGAGGAAACGCATTCTGGATTCATCAAGGCGTACCGAAGAATGCCGAGATGGCCAATACGATATCATCGTTCCTTCTATTCGTCAAATTCTCATTTCGTGACGTCACGATCGCGGATGTTCACCGATATCGAGTGCATAGGACGGATCGTTGTATACGTGGGTGCAAATAACGCGCGCATGAATATTTATCCTGCGAACGGATTTTTTCGCGGTCGTTATTTTTTCTTTGACAGCGATTTCAGGAGTCATTCGGATCTTACAACCGATCGCGCCCTCATTATTTTTTCGTCTCCCTCTCACAAGAATTCCGTGTGGGTCACGAGAATTTTCCTTGGATTTTTTTCGACCGCTTTTTTATCCGCATTCCGTGGAAACTGGGTGCTTAATTTAAATTCCATACAGACATTCGTTAGAGAAACCAATACGCGTATTCATTTATTCATTTCTTATTCATAAATTCTGTAAGATTAATCACCGCTTTGGATAAATCTATTTCGTACTTGTACGCAGTAAAAGGATAAAAAGTAGCTCGGTTCATTTTCAACCGGGGAAATGTAACCCGTCTGTGTTCTGAAAATAAAATCGGATCCACGACGGTTCATTTGTCATAGGTCGTCATTTCTGTGCGAGAAAACTCGGCGGTAACGAGTTTTACGTCCGCGTTTCTATACGGCAACAAAATATATCGATCGAAGTTCCCTTGTCATGTTGGTGAGAAAGTTAGTACGTAAGTGGAAGATGATGATATGCGAATTCGGTACGGAACAGTATTGGCGGCGATCATCGACCATGACAATAATGGAAATTTGCGACGTGTCACTGCTCTTCGTGACTGACGTCAGGTAATCGATTTTTTCTCAATTCCAGCAATCGAGGCGTTGATACGAGCGAAAACGTTGCGGAAGGTCAAAAGTTCAGCTGGTTAGTATATTAAGAAGCGACGCGGTCTGGCGTCAGTCCGACGATCATAACGTATTATGAATTACGATCGAGCGGATTATCCTTCGCCGCGGGCAGGGAACGCTTCGACTGAACGATGATAATAGGTGAGGAATTGCTACAATTGGAGCATCCGCTACTCGATGCCGTTTCTCTGACACTTACTTTCGTGTCCTTGACGAAAAACACCGAGTCACCATGAATCACTTACTACTCCGCTTCGCAGATGGGTCTTCATCAACCTCGTAACCCATCCCTGGCCACTTCCACTTTGCGCACGCCGTTCTTTTTAGATTGAATCAGAAACGAAATTACACTGGTCACTACTACGTACTCGGAGATGGAAACGGAGGAAAACCGATGGGGGAACCAATCCCCGCTTTCCTTTTAAATAATTTTTTCAGATAAAATAAAAAAGTCATTAATCAAATTGCCCATTGTCCTTTAAAATTCCATTTTTTTTTTTTCAAACCGTTGAATAGAAAATATAACCGAACGGATTTTTGCGATGCTCTCGGAGAAACGTTGCGAACAAAATAAAATTTCCTGAAAACTGTTCCGTTATTTGAAGTACACATCCGAACCAGGGGTGATTTTTACATGTGCCAGAGGGGAGAGAGGCGGGGCAGAGCTGAACGAGAAATTAAAAAGTCAAAGTTCCTCCGGCAATTTTTTTCATAATCGTGAGGTCTGGAGTACGCACAGAGGGGATATTTTCCGCGCGCGGCGGAGACGATTTAATTAGACTGCGTATACGCCGCCCCCTTTCGCGAAAAGGGTTAACGCACGAAACTCACCCCTGGTCGCACGGAGGGTTGCGCGTTTTCACGTAATATGGGGACAACGAGGCGTCGCGACGTAGTGCGGCGCGGCGCGAGGCGCAACACACGCCGCTTTCTTTTTTCCCTCCTTCTCTTTCGCTCCGTGTCCCTCGGCACTCGAGATTGATACGGGCCGACGGATCACGAGATTAAAAGTCCCCAGCAAGAAAGTTGGACCCGCTGCGTTCAACTACCACCCTCGTCACTCCCCTCCGGCCGCTCCCGCGCGCCTTTATTAAACTTGCTCCTCCCGGAGGTAAACGAGGTTCAAACGTTTTTGAAACGTGACTCTGCGTACTTTAAATTTAGATTGAACTACCGTATTCGCCGTGTCCCCATCGCTTGCCCCAAGATATTTTCAAGGGACCATCGGTCTTCTACCGTCCCGCGAAAACGCGTCTCGCGATGCTCGAGTCAATCTCAATCGCCGCGCTCTCTAATTACTGTTCCGTTAATTGCAATCAAAATACGTTTCATCTTTTCTCGGTTGAACCTTGTTTATTCACCTTCTAACACATTTGGATAAAATAAACAAGGAAAAGCTTTTCGTGAGAGATATTCTAACACAAAATCAGTGTGCCTACGGAGAGGAAGTAGCGAGAACGAGAACCTTTTACCAAGCAAAACATTTCTGTAAAAATGATTCTATGCGACCTAGCGCAAGCACGAGAGGATAATCTACGCTCCCCCATTCACCATCAGAACCGTCAGAGCCCATATCCAAACACGGTCATCAATCAATCAGTCTTTCCCTTCACCGTCTATCTATCGTCGATTCTCCGCTCGCGATGCCGAAATCCACGCTGCTACCGATCAAACTACCCCTTCCACAAACACGGTGCAACTGCATACCGTATAATATAATCCGGAGCAATCGCAGGCTTCTTTTTTTCAATTCCTCGTCTTGCGATCACGAAACTATTTTCTCGACGAGATGAACAGCGCCGAGGAGTGATTTTGGAAAAATGCGTGGCACTCCAACAGTTCGTTCGCGACGAGCTCGTTGGTCCGTGCGACGACGGAGGAGCACACGCGCTTCAGCACTTATTTCCGTCGACGGAAACGTGATACCGCGGTGAGAACGGTAGCTGACCACACAACCGTCGTTCCCATTGAAGAGTCGCCGGCGGACTGCGAGAGCTGAGAGCCTCCGACGCGATGGGAGCGGTGGAGCCGGCGCGAGAGGCGTGAGGCGGCGCGAGGGGGATGGAGAACGCCGGGTGCGAGCAGGAGAGCGAGATGAGCGTGGGTGAAAGGGAGAAGACTCGATTGAACGCTGGACTGAGGCGCAGGAGGACCGTCGGAAGGACAGAGACGCGTCCGAGGGGTAAGCAAAGGGTGGAAACACCGAGAGGGAACGGGGTTGAGTAGTGATGGGCATTCGATCCCTCTGTGTCGCGAGTTTTCGAGCGATTTAGTCGTACAGACGTTACAGTCACTTCGAATTTAAGGGCGTTCGACGGCTTTGAGTGCTTGCGAAGACCGAACGCCGAGCAACCGGTTAAAGGCTGTCCTGACAAATGTTGTGACAGAATCGTCGGATTAAAGACTCCGGCTTGATTCCCTCTCTTTGACCGGATCGCGTACGCGGGTCAAATTGAAATTATGCCAAAACGTGACACGCTTGTTACGTGCATCATGACTCGTACAATGGATCAAATGTTTCATACACGCGTAGTGACCTGTCCATTCGTATTAGGTTGTCGAATGTATACGTTATCGAATTTATTGCTGGAAGCGAGTATGAAAATTGTTTATTCAGTCGTTAAAATTGTTTGATGCGTGCACAAAATGTAATCTTGTTTTATGTATATTTACTGTCATACGTTGTACAACGACGATGTCATTAATAAATCAACGCGTTCGATGAGCGAATTAAAATTGTCCGCGAATTCTTTACGTGTATTACGTGGACGCCAGATGCGTTGAATCCATCGCTAGCGACCGAGATGGCAGAGAATAAGTACGGGGTAAAAAGAGGAACGCGATACAGAAACGCGAACCGAACCAGACGAGGACGGATACAAATAACATTCGAAGAGGAACTCACCTCTTGGTCTCTTCCTCGCTTTTCCTCTCCCGCGGCTTCCACTTTCTCCACGGCTTCGGCGTGCACCATCCGTACACCTCCGCACACGCTTCGCCTCCCCTTTCCACCACGTTCCTTAATGCGTTTCCTTTCTTGACCATCCTCGTCCCCATCCCTTCCTAGTCGCGTTTCTCTTCACCGTCCACCAGCAGCCGGTTTATCGGTACAGTCTCATACGGACCGAGGGGAGAAACTAGTCTGCGGTCTCACCGGCAAACGCTGAATGCAGCAAAGCGAGATACTTTGATTATCGAAGGAAAACGAAGTGGGTGTAATAGAGTTGGAGCATCCTGTTCGCTTGGGGATAATCTGGATTTCAAGGATGGGTGTGTTTATAGTTCTTTCAAGGGAAACTCTTGCGATCATTACGGGAATCACTCGGCCAATACTTTCTTGAGTAGAAGATTTAGTCTACATCGAGAATCATATTTTATTATTTCGTTTCGTTCAATTCTTAAATCAGCTCTAATTATTTAACTAAATTCGTGCGAATTAAGAATATAAAATTTATAGCGAATAAGTTTCAGGAAACGCAATGAAATAATCCAAAGTTAAGGACGTTTCACAGACTTTGCTGTAAAAAGAAATGTACCCACTTTTATTCTTACGTTTTTGTGTCCGGGTTGCCAGTCACGATTTCGAATGCAAAACCTTTTTACCTCGACCGTAAAACATGAGGGTAGCCACGGACGGCGAACGATCTCGGCCGAGAGATAATCTTAAGAAGCGTACAGGTCTTCATAAAATGGCGTAATTTAATAGGGATCACGTAGCCGAGGCTTTCGATATGTTTGACTGGCTTATCGTGTTCCTAAAACGTGACAGTCGCCCCGGTATCCGAGAATTTTATGATCGCGGGCTAAGCGTGTCTCAAAAGAGGAGGTGAGTTCACTGGCGCACACGCGCGCCACGGTCTCTCTCTCTACGAAGCCAATACCCGATATCCGGTTGAAAACTTCCCCAAGACGCCGCGACGCGTAATCTCCGCAGCAAATTGTCTGTCTCCGAGGTATCCCGGTTCTTGCAAGCCACTCGCTGATCCTTTTTCCTCCTAACTTCCCGCTAATTGACGAAAGAGTCGATTATATTCCCGGGGATCCGAGCAAGGATTGTTCGGGAGAAAACTGAGCCCGCCCTCTAAACGCATTTCGCTCCGCAGCAGTCTTCCCATCCCTGATGTTGCCGAAGTTATCGTGTTAATTCGACCGTGAACGTAACGCGATTCGCTTTGGATGCGGGCTAAAGGCACTCGGAGAGCTTTGTATCAAAAGCGGTTTCGATGTTCGTTCACTGTGCAGTCTACGATTCTTCTTAAGGAATGGATATTAGCAGAACTGTTCTATCTTCTTCGGCTTGAACGATTCGCAGCAAGGAGGATTACCAAATCCATGAATTAATGATTTAATTTAATGTTTATCAGGTATTTGCAAATTCTTGCTTCTTTTAGATGAACGCCGGCGTTGATAGCGATGCTTTTAGGTAGCAGCGTGATGTAAACGAAAGTGTACCTCATTTTGACATGCACAGAATGCAACACCCTCAAAGGCAAGAACAGCAGCGTTCGAATTTTCCATGGACCGCTCGGAAAAGCTCCGGCGAGATTAGGTCAGCTGGCAATTTCCGCGCCAGTCTTTCAAACTGCCGCGTCTTCTCCGACGCCCTCGAGCGATATCAAATTTTCTGGCTTCAAGTCTACACAGGATCCGTGGTGTCAAATAGCGGGAATTGTCGCCAGGGTAGACGTGACTCACTTTAAAGGGAAACGTGAATATAAAGGATTTGTTGTTGAAAATATGATTGTAAAAATTATTTTCAGTGGGAGACAAAAATAAAATTTACATATGGTTGAACAGGCAAGTGGGAAATAAAATAGTAAATTCGAGGGTCTCTACGATTGGTAGAATCCCTTTTGTGCGTGCCGGATCCGAGTTTTTCATTGTACGCCTGTTCCCCTGGTTTTTCATGCGTGATAGACAGTTTGAAACAGTGTCGGATTTGCGTTAGTTTTACATTCTGTGCATCGTTCGAGGATTTTCGGCATGGCCTAAATCACAGGGGTTGTTACCTGGCATGCCATAAGTGTATACAACGTGATGTTCGTTGCATGCATATTACAAATTACACGACGGGATTATAATAATCTTATGTTTCTTCATTATTGATCGTGTAGATTCTTGTAACATCGTCAAAAGAATAATACATTTCTCAGTTTTACTGAGAAAATCCTTGCACAAGCGTTCGCCGTCCAATTCCGACTGGACGTGTTTATGACGCGTCGAACGTGGCATTGGGAAAGAGGGCGACGATTATGCAGACGTCACCCTCCGATATATAAAATCGCCGTCCGCTTTTACTCCTGTCGTCTCCGTCGCCATTTTGGTCGCCGTCGTAGCCGCGTACGTGATGCTCGGGCAAAAAGTTGCGCCCGGTTCTACCGAGGTCCGTTGGTCCGGAAGTGCCGGACATCGGGGTGAAATACGATTGCACGTCGTCGAATGCTTGGCCCATTGCGAACACGAGAAATAGTCTCTCTTAGACGGTTGGCGGAGGGAGAGAGAAAGAAGGAGAGATCCGGGGTCGAAACCGAGCTGGTGTACAAATTCGCGAGACGCCACTCGGCGAAATTTAATTACCCTTCCCCCGGACGAGAAATTGATGACAGTTGGGTCTCCGAGTGTCCTCTGACACAATACACTGTGGTAAAACGAATTAAAAGTTAGCAAGCTAGTTTTCACAAGTTTAGCAGCTTAAGCAGTTCGGTTAGTTGGACAAGAAGTAAAAGGAGACCGATTAACAGTAAAGGTGCAGCGATGATTCGCATGATTATTTTAGTGACCGTAATATTTCCCTCTCCTCGCTTTGTTTAACGGCTTATATGCATCTGGTTGTTATTTACGTTCGCCAATGAATAACAATGAACGGTCCCCACGAATGCAGTTCGCACGCGCGTCTATAAATCCGTGTACCGGCGTGACAAATCTCGAGCAAGGCGCAGTCACCAGGAATGGCGGAGGACGCACTAAAACACGGCCAAACGACGAGGAAACTACGCGATTTTCATGCGTACGACTGCATGCCATGCAAATTCTAGTCAGATTACTCTACGCGAGTCGCCTTTTTATGCCTCCAAGGAATTATCATGCGAACATAGGAACAAGGATAAGCTTGGTCTTAAATATAGGAACATGCAATATATCTGTTTCTCCAGTTTGAAATTATATTTAATATGATTAAGGTGAAACTTATTTTTGTTTAAATTGCCTAGATCCAATTCTAGTTCCTATCATTATCTCCGATCTACAATCATTTGCAGCGACGTTTACACGTCTTCGGGCACGCAACGTACAATACGCATTTTGACAGAGAGACGCCTACGGTTTATGGCCAGGCCGTGTGTGTGGCACGAGTGGTGGTCGAACAAGCGCAAACAAACCAGTCCATATCGAATATCGGCGTAACATTGTTTCGCACCGGGCGCGGAAAGCCCACGGGACAGGACAGGACAGCAGGTCGCGTGACAATGTTTTGCAATTCATGCACGTCGGGAGGTGAGAGCTCGACCCTTCGTGATCGAATAACTATTGACATTTTACTCAGGGATGCCTTGGCTCGTGGAAAAACAATCAAAGCCACACCTTGCTCATTACAAAATGAACACGTTGTTGGCACTCTATTTTTATTGATCATTGAATCACGAAGGATGAAGTAATTAAGATGAATACTTTTTTATATTCAGTTGGATTTTAAAGATCTGGGAGATCGTTTCCAGGGCGATACGCAGCGAAAGAAGGAGCTCATTTTCATGATGAACGATGCATTTCTACCAGATTAATGATAGCGGTTAATGGTTTTCTATCAACGAGTACCGGGGTGGGGTGAGGCAATTTGCTATGCGTAATTGAATAACTTAGAACTCGCATTAATTTCCTCGGGTTGAACGATCTGTTCAACTTATAACCGTGAAGTTTGTTATTCGGTGCATGAATAAAACCGATAACGAGCGGTGCTTAACCTCACGTAATGCAATTCAAGTAGGATCTTCGAGATTATCATAAATTAAGGCGCCAACTTTGTCAAACACAACATAGTAGTTCGTGTTCCTCTTGCGAGGAAAAAGTGTGTTTGCGCATGCCGTGGAATTAATAGAAGAATCTTAACCGGGCGACGTTCAACGACAAAAAAGCCAGGATCGCATTAATTAAACTTATCAAATTTTTGAACGGCGTCGGCGGCGAAACCGAATAAGAAAAGAAACTCTCCGCCCGTTTAAAGATAACGTTAAGTTCTTTAAGAGTTATTCGATTTACACTCTCGGTGTGTGATTTTTTGTTCAATATATTATCTCACTTTTTGTCGGTCGACTTCTGGCGAAAGGAAAAACGAAGACCACTCGAATCTCATATACCGGCTCCCCAGAAGGTGAGTGCTAAGCACTTTTAACAAACAACATTCTGAGCAAAGCGATATTTCCCAGGCGGAAACATAGGAGCATACACACTCAATATTATAATATCGAAATTAACGTGTCGCGTCGCCGGCTGCTCGTTCGCTCGCCGCGGCGCGCACCGCGCCGGCCTCATCATAGTAACAGCTTATTAATATTTATGTTGGGCCGCTGTACGATATTAATACGTTTCGGACAAACAGGTTGTCCTGTTCACGTGGCAATCTCAGAAGCTCATAGTACTATAAAGTTCGAGCACCTTTGTAAATATTCACGAGATTAAACACCCGCACGTGTGCGAGAGCCAGCCGGCTGACGTCCCGTCAAAGAGACTTTTCCATCGTTAAATGGGCTCGTGGAAATGGCACGGCGAATTAGAAAGAATTAAGAAGAGCAATAAACTTCCTAGGGAATTACCAGAGCAACTTTGAAACGAAGTGCAGGCGAATAGGAAACGAAATGAAGTTCCGGTAACGCGTTACATTTAATAAACATGCTTTCAACAGGAATTATTATAATGGAACAGGAATAAATTATATTTGCTAGTAGAGTTTGTTTAATATGTATTATTTTGCGCAAGAGCTTCGGAGGAAGAATATTTCGCGGAAGTAGGTCGGCGAGGATCAGAATTTGCATGTAAATTCTCAAAATCAGTCTCCGCGTGAGAGACTGAACGTAAGACGGTTGCACAATTTTTCCAGATAAGTTATATTTGCGAGCTATTGTCCGATCGTGATTGCATTCTAAACCAGCGATGAATTTACTGTTAATCATT